TTTTGTAAAACGCTGAGACCGTCTATTGAATCGTCTAGTATCCGATTAGACGTTCTAGGCACTAGGCATTGAGCCATCGTCCGATTAGCGGCTAGCGATTTCTTGAATGACGGTGATATCTAAATGATTTAATCGAGCTCTAAATGATGCATGAAATCGCGTTGATAAGAGAATTAAAAAAAAAGTTGCGATTCCCGCGCGTGTAAAACGCATTGCCTTCTAATTTGTTTCCAGATTATGTAGATTGCTTGCATCACTAGACAGGTGATAGGAATGACATTGGGGCATATGACTATACTAAGAAGTTTGATATATTTTTAAGCCCGAGTCACCGAGAGTAGTTAGGTGTAACCGTGCAAGATATAGCTTTATGGACTCAATTTCATAGAACATGCACATTGTCCAATTATTACGTTTTCTATTTTTCTTTTTAAGATTTTTGTTTTGCCTGAAACATGTGAACATTTCTTCGTGACGATTTATGCTTTAAAACATGCATTTATGCACAAAAGAAGGATTTTTTTTTCAATGAGTTACGATGTGTGCCACGCAACATGATGTGCCATTTTGTTTCCATTCTTAAACAAAACTAGATACTATCTAGATATAGGCCAATTTTATTTCCGATATTTTTGAACACCGCACATTCAATTTCATTTCCGACATGTTTTCAGTAGCATTACTTACTCAGTAATGAAACCGGTCCCATTTTGGATGATTTCCATTATATTACACATGCACACTCTGATTTAAATCCGGAATTATAATATGACAACACAAGTAATACAAATCCGTAAATTAAAAATTTTGGACAAAAATATTTATTTGATATTCAACATTGGAATTATTATTTATTTATCTTAAGCTCAAATTTTATAGATAAAAACATTAAAAAAAATTAGCATGTATATTAGGTTTGTTACCTATAATTGATTATTTAACATTGGTTAAAACATAATTAGGTATCTAGCAATTAATCTATATAGAATTTCTATTTTAGTCTTTTCTATTTACCAAGAGTTTTAGTTTTTTATTTTTATATAAAACAAAAGTAGAAAGTTAAAGCATAAAAAAGTTAAATACAATCCATTTATGTTGACCCTAATTGAAATTGTCGTCTTCCTCTTCAAACCTTCACCGTCATTTTTCTTCCTTTCTCCTTTCTACAAACCCTGCAATTTCTTCATACATCATTTTCTATTATCTTTAATTCCTCTATCATCGTTCTCGAATCCCTTTACTTCTCTCCAATTCTTCCGTCATCATTGTCATACCGCCGTCACGTTCTTATGCTCCTTCTTCTTCACATCCTCCTTCTCATTCTTCCTCTTCTAATGTCGTTCACGTCATTCTTCTTTTTCTTCACATCCTCTTTCTTCTTCTTGTTCCTTTCGCATCCTTCTTCTTTTTCAAATCTTTCTTTTTCCGTTCACATCCAAATCTTATATTTTGATTTGGTTTATGGAACTATATATGTA